GCTACTTGTACCATCCAGGGTTGTGTCCTTGCAAACTGCCCATGGAGCTGCCACATGTTTGGACAGTTCATGCTTATCACAGCAATATCAACAGCAACACACCCCCACCCCAAATACAAAAAGCGCTCACTTTGCCGCGTTGTGAGCCAGCTGCTGCAGCGCCGCGCTGCCCAGGTCCACGCCGCACACGTCAGCCAGCCGCAGCAGGTACAGCAGCACGTCCGACAGCGCATGTGCCAGCTGCTGCTGCTCAGCCTGTGGCAGGCTGCTGGCCAGGCCTTGAGGCAGCTCTCCGCGCCATTGGAAGATGCCGGAGAGCTCGCCAACCTGGCAGCATGTCACCAGGTGGGGTGAGGGGTGCGGCGGCATGTCGAGTCGTGCATGGGAGGTACTCACATGTAAGCGCTCAAAAACAGTGAACGCGATAGGAGTTTGTTCCACTGGATGAGGCAGGGTTAGGGCGCTGCAGGAGATATAAGCTGTGCTGTGCTTTCAACCGTGCTTTCAACCGTGCACAGAGTGCGAGCAGCGCCCTTGCCAGGTATGGTGTGGTTGTACTGCTGCTAAGACAGCACCGCTGCCATGTTCTGCGCAAATGATCTGAAAACGAGGGACACCTGCTCCCCATAAGGCGATGCTAATTGCAGAATTAAAGGAATCGCCTGCACCAAGCATCAAGACATTTTACTGCCACCTCTGCAGCTGCTGTTGCTTAATGCTGCTGCACAGGTACTGCTTGCTGAGATGTTGTCTGGTCACCTCTTTGACTAGAGCCAGCAGCAGGTTCCTGGGCGTGTGGCGCTCCATCCAGGCCCTTTCCGTGGCGAACATGAAGAGGGCACGGCGCAACTGCTCCAGGCCCACGTTGGTGAACTGCCTGCCACTATAGGGGCACGTTGCTGAGCCCCCAAGGGGGTCATTTGTTGCCATAACCACCAAGGCGTCACTTTAGCGGAACCAGCAAGCGTATACAGGCGCGAGTTACATAGGAAGGAAGCTACACCTACTTGCTGGCACTGCACCTGTAGCAATACGTTCAAGGTCCTTCAACAAAGTGATTAGATGAGCAGAATACGCGTTCTGCTAAACCCGGAGTCAAGCTTGCACTGTACAGTACGAACAAACTGCGAAAAAGCGGGCACTGCTGAAACGAGTATGTCGGCCGCAGCTGGTCAAGCAGATCTTTGCAAGCTACAATGCTGTGGTGACTGGGGTGGAACGGCAAGCCTTGCCATGTGCTCGGAGCACGCATGTTATTAAAAGTTCAAGCGGGTCCCGGAGGGCGCCGGCCAAGGGAGGGCCCATTGGCTGGCCAAGGGTGATGCTGTGATCAGCCAGGGGAAGCTGCCAAAAGTCAAGCACGCTGCATGTGCTTATTTTGAACAATGTCCCATCAGCAGCCAAGTCATCATCATTTGAGTGCCCTCCAGGATGCTCAACAAGAAGCAGCAACAGCATTACTTTAATCTAAAAGTGGCAGTGACAATCAATGCATGTGCCCATCGTCCGCTGCATTGCTCAAACAAATGTTGGATGCAAACAAAGATCACAGCTGCAATGTTACTGCAGTTGCCAACTCCGGGTCCAGGTCAAAGCTCAGTGCTGCACCGTGTGCGGGTGGTTTCGATCGCCCAAACAATGAAGAAGAAACTGGGTACAATTACGAGAAACCCTCATGAGCGGAACAACGGCTCGCTGGGCTAGTGCCTGAGGCAGGTTCAGTCCTGTACTACTGTATTGTATTGTATTGTATTGTAACCCTTCACTTCCTTTTTTCTGAGTGCTGCACTGCTGCAACCCCAGGACTGGGTCAAGATTAGTGCTGTGCTGCTGCATCACAGGTTGGATGTTACACGACGGGAGTATTGCCTGTTTTTCGACCCAATGACAGGCTCATTGGGCAACCATTACCAAACACCAAATACCAAATACCAAAGTAGGGCCACAGGCCCACCCACTAAGGAGCCAAACAAGGCTCATGGGGTCCCACAACAGCCAAGGAGTACCAATCCAACCAACTAATCCGAGGCCTCAACAAGTTCTGAGGATTCTGTCTCTGAGGCACTAGTGTCACTTGGGAGCACAGCAAGCGCCATAGCCGGATCATTTCTAACAAGGAGACAATAGTAAATAAAAAGCAGCAACACATCCATCAACCTTCAGTCTAAGCAAGATTCGGCCAGTTGCCGTCTCTAGCGCATTGGTGCGCTGCACTCTGGCAAGTACCCCATCAAAGGTGCAGCCGTGACATGACTGCACTGCACATGACACACAGCCCGGGCATAGATCAATGACTGAATGCTGTCTGCTGTGAAGAAGAAGCAGCACTCTAGCATGAAAAGGCAAGCAAGTAAGCAGAGTCAGCCGACCCCTGCATGCGAGGCTGTGCATGCAAGCACAGCTGGCTCCATGTCTGCTGTCTTTAAACACACTGCTGTACCAAGACGCAGCACTAAAGCAAGCTAGCCCGGCAAGAACAGCAGACGTCTCTGAACGAATGTTCTGCATGCAAGCATCGCTGGCTTCACCCACTGCATCACGTTGAAGCTGGACGAAATGTTGAGCACTTGATGTTGAGGCCAATGGAGCCGCTTCCCGGGCACCAGCCCATCCACGTCCAGGAAGCAAAGGTAGAGGCTACGCACGCACACTCTTGCACATTCCCAAACAGATTACCTGAAGCAAGCAGCTGCCTGCTGTACCACAGCTGCAGCTAGCTGCAGCAGTATGTCACTGCCTCCATGTGAAAGGACACGATACCATGTAAAAGGACACGATACCATGTACATCAGTGGCAGCTTCATAAGCCAGCATGAAAGACGCAGCAAGGACAGCAGAATCACCGGGCTCTCCCTCCCCCCGCAAATCTGCTGAACTAGGGTTTGAGGGGTTACACGGTGCTGAACTATACTTGCGGAAGAAGAGGGGTTACATGGTGTGCACAGGCGACTGCGTCGCAACGAACACCCAAAAAACAAAGAGAGCTGCTAGAAGTTCAGCGGGAGAACTATACTTGCATTTTTTCATTTTGAGGGGTTACACGGTGTGCTCAAGCGGCTACGCCACAACGGACACCTGGAATAAAAGGAAGCTGCGTGCAGCTCAACGCAGGCTGTCACTCAAGGAGGCTCAACCCCCAGGAAAGCCTCTGTGTGTGGGGCCAGACATCAGCCGTGCTCAGCACGACCCGTCGTCCCCGTCACACGCAAATGTTGTTTGCTTGGAAGTATATGAGCACGCAAGCAGTAGTCCAAGCAGTGTCAGTGACAGCAATCTATACATGTTGCAGTACAGGAAGCGGGCTGAGCTGATGAGCATGATGCTGACTCAAGGGCAGATCAGACTCAAGGCAGCAGTGAGGAAAGAAACGGCTGAAAGCTGGCCAGCTGCAGAGTGTTTGTCATGGCTGCATATCTCAACAGGCATGCAGTGACCCCACATACACCCACTTTAGAGTGGGGCTGGTGGCTTCCAAGAGATAGGCAGGGAGAACGCAGCAACACACATATGCATGCCCGTGCGAATCACCTGCGGACTACACGTAAGCCATTGCCGCGCAGCACAGTGTGCCACGCAAGGAACGGCTGCCGCGTAAGCAGCTGAACTCTGTGACGACCAGGCACCCTAGCTGTAGCAGCAAAGTTAGCAAGCGCATCGTAAAAGCCGCCAACTGCCGCTCGTATCGCCACTTGCTCAACAAGCACAGGTACACCAAGCTGACAAGAGACCGCCCAGGCTACCCTGCGGCCATGTTCGCATGCATGTATCGCTGCCAAACATACCATGTCCCATACAAGGCCGTGCACATCACGTTGAGGGCCACATGCCAACCACAAAGCCCTGCAGGGCAGGTTTTCACTCGCCGTGAGCAGATTAAAAGCTCTAAGTTGACGCTCCACCTCTTCTCGCACGGCAACAGCCACCGGACATAGCCAGAAATGATGCTCCACACCTGGCCCAGCAGCTGAGCAAGCTGCACACCCAGTAGTCAGCTGCATACGCTGCGCAGTGGGGAAGGCATTTAAAGTCAGGCGCCAGGCTGCTTCTTTGTAGGTGTTAGCCACTCTAAGGCCCCACCAGCGGGATAACACCAGTTGCACAACAGGCAGCTGGGCCCCGGCAGGAGTGCCATCCAACATTCTAACACTGTTCAGAAAAGCAGCATGACGGGGAGCAATAGCATCAAGCGCAGAGAGACGTTGAAGCTTAGTGGCAGTGGCAACGGTGAGGTCGGCCAACCGAATGACATTTTCTGCACTGCCGCCGGGTCGCTGCCAGCCTAAATCAGCACACAACGTTTCACGCGCCAAAAGGAGGTCATCAGGGGTGACAATAGAAAGTTGTTCTGCACTGTCACCAGCAGCATAAGCTGCTGCTAGGTGAGCACGCGCAGCTGCAAGCCACACTTGGGGAACCAGAGCTAGCAAGGCTTGCAGATGCTGACGGGCTAGCTGCCTGTCAGCATATTGCGGCTTGTTGCACAACAAGGGCCCCAGATGTCATGCTGGTATGCTGCGCGCTGAGATAACAGCCCAGGCAAGGCACATACTCTGTCCAGCTCAGAAGAGAGCACCACAGCCTGGCCGAGAGACTGCAGCTTGGGCAGCTGCAGTAGCCCGGATGCAACCACTTGTTCCAGGCCAACAGCAACCCTGCGTTGCTGACCAAACCACTCCCAGTCCTGTGGTGCAGTAAAAATGGGGTTGGCCCACAGCGGCGCGTGCCAACACAGCTCTTCAGCATCCAATGCTTCTGTGCCAACGTGGCGGAGTGGCGGCAGAGCCCGCATCCCCAGCGCCAACGCATGCAAAGCTGACGGCAAACGCTCATCTGCATAGGCAGACGGAAACAGATGTTCACCGCCACATAGCAACAGCCCCCAAGTGAACTATACTTGCCTTTGTTTTGTTTGTTGCCTAGCAACACCTACTGCGTTGTGCGCCGTGTTAGAAGACACAGCACTGCATGCAAAGCGTCATGTGCGCCTGTCAGTGTGTAAAGGTTGGGTAGTTTAGTGGTAGAACACCAGCATGGAGCATGGTATGCTGGAGACCGGGGTTCGAATCCCGGACCAACCGCCCGTGGTTGGGCTAAAAAAGCAACTAAAATTGACGGATTTGTGCGGGTGGTTTTCGATCGCCCAAACAATGAAGAAGAAACTGGGTACAATTACAAGAAACCCTCATGAGCGGAACAACGGCTCGCTGGGCTAGTGCCTGAGGCAGGTTCAGTCCTGTACTACTGTATTGTATTGTATTGTATTGTATTGTAAAACAACGGATTTAACGGCTCCTGGGCTCCAGGTAAATGCAAAACGTCATACCTTCAATTATAAGTATTGTATTGTAACTGACCCGGCAGTACTTGCATGCAACCAGCAAGCACACCATGCGTGCATTTGAAGCAAAGCTTCTAGCCCAGATCTCCCGCCAAAATGCACCTGCCATCCCGGAACAGACCCAATGAGGGCCATCTGGTCGATATAGGCCAAGGCCTCTCAACTGAATGGTCGGAACCCCCAACTGATGGTCGGGAACCCTGTTCTAGCCTGTATGAGTTGAATGGTGTGATTGCCTTGTGTCATACATCTCCAACCCAGCACCGCCTCTGGCTGCAAACATGGCATGGTGGACGTGACCTTTACAGGCATACTGGATGCAGATCATCGCCATCACACGAGACAGACAGCAGTGGCGGGCTGTGCACCGCAAGTCTCACGCATGCTGCATGCCGCAGCGGCAGCCGGCATCAGGCTGGCCCCCTCACAGCCCGCCGGGCTTCCCCTTCATCTGCAGGGTTCCAGCCAGCGCACTGCCAGCCGCAGCGCTGCATGCCGCCTCAGCCGCACGTGCCAGCCGCCCAGCACTGGGGCTGCAGCTGCGCCACATGCCTCCAGCCCCACCCCTGCTGCTGCTGCTGCTGCTGCCAGCTGGGTGGCCGTGCTTGGGGCTCAGCGGCTTAGGGCTTGGCAGCTGGGGGCTCCTGGCGCCAACGACTGCAGCGCTGCCATCGTGCTGCTGCACGCCTGCTGGCGAGGTAGTGTCCTGCTGCGCTGCTGCTGCTGCTGCTGCTGCTGCTGCTGTGGCGGCCCTGCAGAGCTGCCTGCACTGCCTCCCGGGGCTCTCGCTGCTGCAATGAGCAGGTGTGGGCCCATGCTGCTGCTGCTGCAGCAGCCCCAGGGCCGTACATCAGCCAGCACGGCGTTGAATAAGTCCTCTGTGCTCAGCCGCAGCTGATTGCTGCTGCTGCTGCTATTCGCAATGCTGCCCTCTCCAAGGCCAGCAGGGACTGCAACCAAGAATGGAGAAGGTGCTCGAGCAGGGGGATTGTGGCCGGCTGCCGCTGACCTGTTTCTTGCTGCTTGTGATGGTGGTTCAGCCATGCTGAGCAGTGTTGGCAGTGGCGGCAGCACCTGTTGCTGCTCTATACCCCAGCCCAACTGCTCCCGCACCCACACGTCTGCAACAGCTGCCTCCTCAAGGTCTGCTGCGCCACGTGCACCCACCACAACAGGCCTGCTGTCTGCTGCTGCTGCTGCAGCCGAGGTCGCGTGAGCACTGGCAGCAGCCGCATCTGCCGCCCCATCAATGCCTGGCTGTGCCTGGTGGTCCTCCCCCTGCCCGTCAGCCAGGCCAGGCAGCGCCAGGCCCAGGCCCCTGAAGGCAGCCAGCCTGTGGCGCGCGTAGCCGTGGAGCTGCTCCAGCAGCAGGCGAGCCAGCTGCTCACGCAGCGCTGACTCACCTGCTGACTCACCCTCCGCACCTGCCAGCGCTGCACTGCTGAGCCTGCAGCTGGTATGGCAGCCGACAGGACTGCTGCAGGCGGAACGAGCAGCAGCGCCTGGCAGCTGCTGCATGGCTGGGCTGGCGGCGCCTCCCCGCCGCAGCTGCTGGATGCAGTACAGGACAAACGCAGCAACGCCGTCATCCAGCGCTGCTGCCAGTGCTGCAGCGCCTCCGCCAGTTCTGCCACCGCTCGTGGGTGGGGTGCTGCTGTTTGGAGCTGATGAAACCCGGCTGCTAGCTCCACGCAGCCTCATGAAATTCATGGGGCTGCTGCTGCTGCTGCGCGGCTGACCGGCCCTGCTGCTGCTGCCACCACTCCTGCTGCTGTTCCAGCTGGCAGCCACAAGGCTGCCAGGGATGCTGTTGTCCTGCAGTGCGCTGCATGGCTGCTGCTGGTGCTGCTGCTGTGGTGAGGCGGCCCTGCCGGGCCGTGCGCCAGTGCCGCCCTCGTCCCAGTGCACACGGCTGCTGCGGCTGACAGCCCCAGGTGATGTGCACGGTGCAGCACCAGCTGCTGTTGCTGCTGTTGCTGTGCTGTCGGCTGTGCCGCCCGGCAACGCCACCACCCTTGCTGTGCAGCCCTCTGGCATCAAGCCCTGCAGGGCTGCTGCCAGTGCCTGCCGGGCGGCCGCGAGCTCATCGCCAAGCGCCAGCACCCTCGCCTGCAGCTGCTGCACGATGTCCCCTGCAACACCAGACACAGCTGGTGCCGCGGCATGCATGCCTTGCTGCTGCTGCTGCTGCTGCTGCTGCTGGCCGTCGTGGGGCTGGCTCGATGAAGCTGAGAGTTGCTGTAACTGGCTCAGCAGCAGCGCATCAGGTTGCTCCTGCTGCTGCTGCTGCTGCTGCTGGTTGCCAATTTTTGCCAGCCCGTAGGTCTGGCCAGCTGCGTCATCTGCAGGCTCTTGAAGCTGTGCTGTGCCATCATCGGCGCTGCCAGCGGCTGTAGCGCCTGCTGCTGCCGGCTGTGGATCCAGGGGGACGCTCATGCACTGCTGTTGCCCTCCAGCAGCACCAACACCAGCAGCAGCAGCAGCAGCAGCAGCACCTCCAGCTCCCATGCTGAGTAGCGAAGTGGCGATGTTGCCGCTGACCATGGCTGCTTCACTGCCTGCCGCTGCAGACGCTGCGCCTGGCGCCACCCCTTCCTGCTGCAGGCAGCGCAGGATGGCCTTGATGGTCTGCTGCAGCAGCAGGTTCTTGCGTGCTGTGCTCTCGACTGCAGGCAGCCACACGCGCCAGCTGGTCAGCAGGCGGCAGGCAAGCAAGACGCATAGCCTGGCTACCAGGAGCAGGCAGCGGGTGTGGTAGCCGCCCCAGAAACCACAACTGCTGCTGTGTCATGGACCTGGCCATGCGCTGTACCAGAGCTGAGTATGACTGCGTATCGCTGCATCCTAATCCAGATCTGCTGCATCCAAACCCAGAAGCCTGCCTGCAACTCCTTGCGCTTTCCTGCTGTCTTTGCTTTGTCGCACGTTCAAGGTTGCGCTAGGTGCCCTGACAGCGGCTGATGCCGCCCTGTGCCCCCTCCATTGGCCGGCCACGCTCAGCCCATCCCACCACGGCTGAGCCGAGCCAGGCCGAGCCCACCCGTGTGCGGCAAGGGCCGTGCTGCTGCCGCCCGCTGCCGCACCTGTCTTGTGCGCCACGCCCAGCTGTCGCCGCAGCTCTGCCGCGTCCGCGCGTGCCGCTGCGTGCGCCTCCACTAGGCGCGCACTGGCTGCCTCGTGGTACGCCAGCTGGCCGGCCATGGCCTGGTTCTCAGCCAGCGTGCGCTTGGTGCTGCCCTCCAGGTGCTGGTCTGACGCAGCACAGTGGGTGGGGCGGTGGGACGAGCGCAGCGGCCAGGGTGTGGGCCGCCCCGGGGAGTGTGGTGCGCGGGGCTGTGCACACTGCGCAGGTGCTGGTGGCAGCAGTGGTGTGCACCCGCACCGGCTGATGCCCACCCACCCGCTTGCGCAGAGCCAGGCACATGTACCTGCTGCTCACACTGGCTGTTGCATCTTGCACCTCACCCGCAATCGCCTGCCACGACAGACCAATCGACGCCCCTCAAGCCTCCACACACACCCACACCCGAGGCTCCACAGCCAGCGCCACACCGCAGCAGCCCCCCTGCACTGCCGGCTGCGCCGCACCTGCCAGCTGCGCCATGGCGATTTTGGTCTCCCGGATCTTGACCGCCACCTCCTGCCGTGCGCGCTCCTTCTCCTGCAGGTGGCGCCGCTCAAGGTCGCTGCAGCAGCAGCAGCAGCAGCAGCAAGCAGGCGGCATGCAGTCAGCACACCTGGGTGTCACAGTGGGACATGCTGGCGTAGGACAGGCGGCCATGTGCCTGTCCCCTCCCGGGCTGGCGGCGAACCAAACTCGGCGCACTGGGGTGCACTGGGGTGACTGCCTGGGGCCCTGCAGCCCGCCAACTCGCTTGTTGGTTTCACGTTGCTCCAGCAAGAAGGAGCCAGCTGCAGGGGAGCCACCCTCATCCGCCTGCAGCCGCCACCTCCTGCGCTGCACCCGCCAGCCCCTCCCCAGGCTGGCCAGCTCCCCCTGCCCACCTCAGCTTCTGCTCCACCTCCTTGCTCTTTGCAGCCAGTGCAGCCCGCAGCTGCGCCAGCTGGCCGTCCAGGGCCTCGCGCTGCTGCAGGAACTCGCTGCTGCCCTCCAGCTGCGCGGACAGCTCCGCTGCACGCGCGCCAGCAGCAGCCGCCTCAGCAGCAGCCTCAGCCCTCGCGCGGGTCACCTCAGCCTGCAGCCACAGCAGCACAGCAGGGACAGGTGGTGGCATGTAGCGCTGCAGTCCACCTGCAGCTGCCTGCCTTGAGGCGGGTGGTGGTGCGTGCAGCATCCATCGCTGGCCATGCAGGCCGTGGTGGCCTCAGCTGCTGCTGTTCCAGTGCATCTGTTTGTGTGGTGCTGCGGCTGAGCCTCAGCACAGACACAGCACAACCCAGCATTTGGCCACGGCAGCTGCACTGGACGCGACACCGCGACGGGTGTGGCCGCATGCATCCACTGCTGGCTGCAGCTGCTCCGACCTGCGGAGGGTCAGGCGCCGCCGTGCTGCCCCACCTGCGCCTCCCTCTGCACCTCCTGCAGCCTGGCTGTGAGGGCCACAACACGCTCCTCAAGCTGCACACAACTCAGCCACAACAGCAGCAGCAGCCAGCAGGCCAGCAGCCAGCAGCATCGATTGTATATGCCTGGACCCTTGCAGCCCGCAGAGAGTCAGCAGCTGCTGGCAATGCTGCTTTCCGTGACCCAGCACGCAGCTCCCTTGCCTACTTAGGCTG